CAAAAGTTATCGATTAACATAGAAAGCCACTCAGTGGTGCGGATTATATTAAAGAAGTTTGGCTAGAATTTGCGCCTTTCCTTTTTGACATTTTTTTTTCAGAAAGGGTAAAGATAATTTAGCGCATTAAACATGGCCGGTGCTAAGGTCTACCCTAACTCCGAAACAATCTTTGTCAAAAGATATTTTGAAAGTGTCCATAAGAATAAAACTGAGGAGGAACAAAGTGAATAAATTTCTCGTGAACTGAGCAAGACAAAAAACAGGCTGATATTTTATGAACTTTATTTCAGTTAGACCCATTTCTAACTTAGTTATTGTTAGTTTTGACGTTTCAAAAGTTACTGGCCAACATAGAAAACCACTCAGTGATGCTGAGTATATTAAAGAGGATTGGCTAGAATGTGTACCTTCCTTTTTTGAAAAAAATTCAGAAAAGGCAAAAAGATTTGTCTTTGAGTAGGAAAACAGTTAAGGATAGGATACATAAGTTGGAAAGGTATACAGCTGAACAACTAACAAAAGATTTGTCTTCGTGTAAGATTTTCTTTTCTATTCGTGTTGATGAAAGTGCGGACATTACATCATCAGCTAGGCTAGCCATATTTTATCGGGGTATTGGAGTATGTGAAGAGATAGTTGACCTTGTAACACTACCTGAGCTTAATACCGGGGCTGAAATATGTAAAGGAGTTGTGAACGAATTATCTATTCGATAAATTCACATTTCAAAAGTAGTATCTGCCACAACAGATGGTGCCCCCAGAATGGCTGTTGAGAAGGTAGGATTTGTAAATCTGTTTGCAAAAGATGTTGGTCGTCCATTGACAGGATTTCATTACATCATACATGAGGAGGCGTTGTGTGCAAAATCTGGACTAAAGAAACTTCAGGAGATGATGTAAACAGTTCCCAAGGTTGTTAAATTGAATTTCTCCTCGGACTTTAAATAAAATATAATTTCAAATTTTACTGAATGAGATAAAATATGTATATAAAGGACTGAAAATGTACAACAATGTTCGTTTTGTTTGGAAACGATTTGTTGAATGCTTAGACGAGATAAAGCACTTTTTGAATGACCAACAAGTGTCTAACCAAGAATTGTCTGACATCATGTAGGTTTGCAAACTGATGTTTGTTGAAGGTTTTTGCAAACATTTAAATGACTTGAATATTAAATTACAGGGCTTTGGTAAGACACTTGATGTTATATTTATGTTTGTTTTAAGGATTTTCAAATGAAATTAGGTTTCAAGAGGGATGTAGATGAGAGATTTATATCAATGATCTTCGAAAAGATGTCAAAACAGACTGCCAGTATCTTCAAAAGCCGTTTGTAAACATAATTAAATCAACCCCTGAGCAGTTCTTTACAAGATTTGATAAATTCATAGAACTGGAAGAGACAGAAAATTTCATTAAGCATCCAGACTGTATCAAGCTGGATGAACTAAACTTGCAAATGTTTTAATGGATAAACATGGATAATTCCGAAATGCAGTTGGTTGAATTTCAGAGTAGTCCAATTTGGAAGCAGGCATTTGTTGATCTTAGAGTCGACTTGGAATATATTGAAAAGCAGAGATTAGAGATGGGAGTATCAGAAAGAAATGCGGAAAACGAAGTATTAAGTACTTTGAATACCATTCCAGAAAATTTTGTCTCTTTAAAAAATCTTGCAACAACATTACTATCCATGTTTTCATCTACATATATTTGTGAATCTTTGTTCTCAATGATGAACTTTGTTAAGTCTCGTAACAGAAGCTGGACGGATGAATCTAGTAGTGCATGCATATCTCTCAAGGTTACTAAATATAAACCTGATATGAAATCTGTCAGTGGTGCAGCAGCAAAAATCCCACTGATAATATATAAAAAGAGAGATGTCTCTATTTTTATCTGAGGTTTTCTTCTGAAAATGGCAAAAGTTCGGGGTTGTTTAAATGCAGTTTTGAAGGTAAATAGATAAATCTTCATTATACATCATTTATAAGGGATTTAAAATCAGCAAAAGATTATTTTTAACCTGTTATTGTGTTTTAGTAATAAAAATGTATTACTGGGAAAAATGGAATTAATAGAAAAAAATAAAAGTGTCAACATTTTGTGTAGATGCTAATAATAGTTAATAGTGTCTTTAAATTTTGAAATATGTATTGGAGTTACATTTATACTTACAGGCTAATAAAAATATCGCAAAAAAACTTTTTCCTAACTTTTTTTTAATTCAGTCAGTTTTACATGATTTACATAATTTATTACACTATCGTGTTTTTACTTAAGAGATATCAAATAATATATAGTCAAAACATTTTTGTTAGCACGTCGAAATATTTTGTCAGAGATTTGGCCGGTTTTGGCACGAACTCTCAAAAAGGTTGCCCGCCTCTGGTTTAGCGATTAAACCGTAGAACCGGGTTCAGATTCCGGTTTCGACACGTAAACTTTCAAAGGTTCTAATTTGTCTATGTCTGGGCTGATTCTGCTGTGCGCTCTGTTCATCAGAATACGGATGATGAGTTTTGTCACGTGACTCATTAGGCTTATTGGTCGGTGGAGTTTGCATTCGTTTGCGCCTGTTTTCTCAGGGATAGTTACGAAGATAGTTCTTCTGAGGTCTTCCGGTATATCCTCTGTGTTAAATTAGTAATATGATTAATAATCATCGAATGGCATAATGGTCACACAATCAAATTATAATTAACTATAAGAGAAGGGAAAATTTCAGTCAAATTAAAGCACGCCTTTAAAATCAGCAATATACTATTTCACTTCCTAACTATGAAATTGTGATGCAATGGATATTGGCTCAGAGTGAGAACTCGGAGAGCCGAGTTCGAATTCCAGTTGAGGTCGTTAGATTCACTTACACACTTGGGAAAAGTATGAATCCATCTCTTCTCGCTCCAGCAATGGGCTGAATAGCAGGACAGGCTGTTTTCTTTAGCCTTGGTTGGCAACCAGTCTACCGTAGAAAGAAATGGCAACCTACTGTGGGGAAAAATCTGACTCGTCAGTTAATTATCGAATGTTATGTGATCGCCCAAGCGTTAATCACGTATGATACTTAATTTGTTTTCAGTGTATATTTGCTTAAAACAACGAAAGCTGTCTCTGGTTACAAAACAAGACAAAAGTGCAGCAAAAGTAAAATTCAGTTAAATTATTCTGAAATGCATAATACTTAAAGGGTGTTGACGAAGCAATTAAAGTCAGTTAAAACAACGAACTTACGATTTACATAGACACACCTAAATCCATGTAGATATACGCATATATACACATTAGAGAAGTTATGGCCCATTTGTAATGTTTGATGATTTTTCATATTTTTAGTTTAATTTTAGTTTTCTACTTATAGTTTATTTAGTTAGTTTAATAAATTTAGGACATTTAGTTTAATTTTGCTTTTTTAATTTTTTCCGATTTTTTTTTTAAATTCAGAACTTGCAAACCATTCACAACGCAGTTGCACTTAAATTCAAAGCATTCTCTTTAACGATGCATCAAGAAAATGACTTGACTAAAAACCGACCTTTTTAATACTAAGAATTTTTTTCTCGTAAGAAAAAGCTAATTTCCCATGGCACATCTGCGGCTAACCAAAAAGAAAATACTAAATCTCAGAAAGGGCGTCCGCTAGTTTAAGGGAGGACAAACAATTTATTTTCTCCTCCCCTCGGATTCACAGGTCAAGTGCACCATGTCACTTGATTATCCAATAAATTGTACCCAGTTACACCATAAGTGGTGGTAAGTGCAACATCCTCTCTACGGGTGGAAGGTCTATTGGGTAACAGCTTCCAGTGAGATAGATTCGTTTTGCATCTCGGTTGGAAAAGGGACATGGGGTGCCTTTGAATATCGGATACTTGAAATTGATTCTTTACACAAAAGTTCAAAAGAGATGAAGAAGAAGTCTGCTACCAAAATTAGCCGAATCTCAGGAACTGCTGTGGGTTCATATGTCTGCTATTAATTCAACACATTGCAGTTGAATATGTCTCAAGTGACGCGTAAAATTTTCTTCGTTCTTCTAAAGTTATGCGGTTCAGATAATTTCGAAATGATACTTCTTATATTCTGTCTAATGTATTTCCTGTCTTGTCTGTTTCCCAAGGATTATTTAAAAAGCACAGAAACGAAACCAAACTTTTGTACTGTCTGGTGAATTCTCAAGAATCCATTACAGGCATCCAACCGCTTATATTTCACAGGCCTCTCTCGTCATAACGATTCTCCTTTGCAAAATACGAATGAGGGTAAACAGATGATCTTCCCCGTCATCTGTACTTAAACTAACATATACTTAGACTCAATAAAGGATAAGACTTACGGCCAAAGCACGTTGCAACACCGGTTCCCTTATTATCAACCAAATTCACCAACGTCGAATCCGGTCAGTACCTACACCCTTGTGCAAATTAATTAAAACAACCGCTTTAATTTCCTTCCTTTCTCCATACAGTCAGTTTCAGACCTACTGGAGTGATAGGGTGTAATCGATTTCTATTTTAGGTCATTTGCAGTGGTGTGCAGTAATATGAATCTGTTTCGAGGGTGTATGATGAAAATATTTGACCTCGAAAAATATTGTGTCATCCGAGATTGCATCAGATTTTTATCACGCTCAGACACTATTGTCTCGACTGTCGATTAGTTGTCCTACGGGCATTGTCTGCTATGGACGTTACTCCAAGGAAGCAAGTGTAACGCTGCACGAACACACTGGCAAGCCTTACCAGTGATCAAATCAAAGTACTATCGACTCGGCTCGGGAACTCTCCTGATTTAAATCCAATCGAGAATGGAAGCTACGATTTCGTGGAATGGGCATACGAAGTACTAATATCTGCACTGGATCATGTTTCATTGGAAAAATACAAAAAAAGTAAATAATAACATGATTATTCGTTTTGTTTCAATTAATTTGCACAAGGGTGTGGCTGGTTAACTACTTGTGAAAACTTGGTGCTGGGTTTCGAAGACAACACGCTGAAACATCGTTTCCCGTAAGATCTCCGAAGTTAAGCAACGTCGAGAATGGTTAGTATATAGTTGGGTGACCGCTTGGGTATACCAGGTGCTGGATAACGAGCTCCAGTTTGGTTCGTTATATTCACTTACACTTGAGAAAGGTATGAATCCACCTCTTATCTCCTCGCCCCCAGCTATGAGTTAATTAGTAAGACTTGTATCACTAAACTATTATTATGTCCAAAAATAAAATAAAATTGTGTACAAAGTATTTAGATTTCGGCATTAAATAACCCATGCAGGTGTTGATATGCCGCTAAACAAAAACAACCAATCTACCAATCATCTTATGCTTGCACGAAATTAATTAGGAATCTTCTACCTTGAAAGACTAAAAAACAGCATTAATTGGGCTGTCAGATATTTTACTTACAGTGATAAATCTGACTTTAAATGTGCCAATGTTACACTTTATGGCAGGAGTCGGCAAAACAAGGGCACACGTGTCGCACACGGCACGCCAAGCGATTTCCAATGGCACGCAGCCGCTAATGACATCAGGAAGTCCGAACCAATAACTACTACAACGCAAAGAAGATATTTAGCTGTTTCAATTTTAATATATACTAAAGTATGCATATTACATATTACTATATAAAATATATTGTAGAAAAGGTATATTGACCTTGACTTGTATAAAAATATGCATGCTGTTGGGACACTGAATGATTTCAAAACCCTAAGTCAGCACATAGTTAGAAAAAGGTTACCGACCCCTGAACTAAACCATGAAATATATTTTATAAATTCTGAGCAGGGACCTTAATAGTAGACCCTATTTAATAGTTTTTATAGAGTTTTATTTAATAAACTTTATAGCAGGGGCCGGCAATCTACGGCACGCGTGTCACAAGTGGCTCACCAAGTAATTTCCAATGGCACGCAGCCGCAAATGACATCAGGAATCCGAATCAATCACTACTACAACGCAATGAAGATATTTAGCTGTTTCAATTTTAATATATACTAAAGTATTTATACCATATATTACTATATAAAATATATTGTAGAACAGGTATATTGACCTTGACTTGTATAAAAATACGTATGCTGTTAGTACACTGAATGATTTCAAAACCCTAAGTCACATAGCAAAACATTGCCGACTCCTACTTTATGATATTAAATGTGCCAATGTAACATTAATAAATGTCTCAATTTGACACTTTATACTATTAAATGTGCCAATGTAACATTTATGGTATTAAATGTGCCACTTTTACACTTTGTTTGTAGTACCAAGCTAAACATGCAACATCGCCATATTTTTCTCGGCTTTCATTACTATGATTTGTGTGTGTGTTTGTGCAAGTGTGTGTGTGTGTGTGTTTGTGTGTGTGTGTGTGTGTGTGTGTGTGTGTGTGTGTGTGTGTGTGTGTGTGTGTGTGTGTGTGTGTGTGTGTGTGTGTGTGTGTGTGTGTGTGTGTGTGTGTGTGTGTGTGTGACAAAAACAAAGGTTAGCATGCAGGATGCTTATCGCAAATGTCACTTCATAAATTGCGTTACGCTACGAAACGCCAAATGTCACACTCGTTAAAAATACTGAAAATGTCAAACGACAATATTCTGTGACAGGAACATGAAATTTGCTTGGCTTGTAAAAAAAAGACCATTTTGAATTCCTTCCCTGCAATTGTATTCATGTGCAGAAATATGTTCTAAGAAAAAAAAAATCCAGCATTTTTTCCATTTATGAATTGAAAAAAAAAATCTTGAAAAATGCCCGATTTTCCCAAGCGTCTAACGTAGTATTTCACGCTCATGTTATAGAATCGACACGCTATTTAATTTTATAAGATTTCTACGATTTAAAAAAAAAATTACTCCGATTTTTTTTTTTTGCTTCGTCGTCTATAAAAATACTTTGCTAAGCAATATAAGATATGGATACTTGCTTTTAATGACCACTTCTTAGAGTGACATTGTCATTTAAAACCACTTTTCATCGCCGTAAGTAGCAGATCTTACTGGAATAGCCATGATTAGAACCCATATCATGTTATGCGTCAATTTAAATTTTGCAACAAATACCTGATACTCTCTACAATATTAATCTAATTTTTTATTCGCTTTATAATCAGAATATTTTGTGTTCCAAAATTGTTGAGAGATTAAATTAGGGACTCGTGGCATATTTTGGATTATGTAGTATAACTTGTTCAATGTTAAAAGTATGATTACAACATCATTACGACATCATTAAAAATGTTAAAATTCCATATTCATGACAAGGAATAAGGTTGGACTGATTTTACAAATACCTCGTTTTATAACACTAACGAAAGAAGAGAAAATATATCGCTTTACAACATTGAAGTACAGTACTAGATTGGCGGCAAGGTCCCATCATTTTACAGTTGCAATGGCTAGAGGTAACCGCAAGTTCTATGCGAACAGTTTTTTCTCTCTTTCGGCTTTTTGCTTACCTGCCACCAATAATCATCCAAAATTTAAATGCAATGTCAGTCGTTATCTTCTATCTTCGTAATTCCTGTTCTCTTATTGTTCTCTCCCCTTAATAATGTTTTTCTTATATTCTCTCACACCCAGTAACCCTCTTGCTTCTTAGTGGCTTGCTTGAGGTGAAATGAGTAAAAAAAAACACTAAAGAAGTTTATGTCAAGTGACCTGGCATAAATTATATAAAACCGGTTCCTCCATCAGTCTTTTCTGGTGAGGAGGATTAAAAACAACAAGATTAAAAACAACAAGATTAAAAATCAAGACCTGTCAAAGGGCAGATTAACCTACTTGCGGGGGTACATAGCCATAAAAACACAATGGGGTAAACTGGGTTTCAGATCAGCAAATGTGAGGATGGCACGGCATTGTTGGGTGCAGGGTTTCCTAGACTGCAGTCCACGTTCCGGTCGAAGGAATTAATGAACACGTGTCCTTAATCGATTCGAACCTTCATGTTGGAGCACATCGGCAGTGGTTTGACCTGGAGAGAGATGGACAGGTCTACTCGCCCAAGACACGCTACGCATGAACGGATACCTCTCCGACTTTCAATGCATATGTTCAGGGGACTGGTCAGGTGCTCAGCAACGCAGCGACTCTACGACCCCATCCGGCTATGGGACTGATGATGATGATGATGATGATGGTGGTGGCGGTGATGATGATGATGATGTCATAAATAACAAAAAAAATACGAAATTTGCAGAAACTACTACTTCATTTATGCACTATGTTCCTTCAGAGCGTGCGCGATTTATGACTCTCCACAACTTCCAGTCTTTTGCAGCCCTAAGCAGCATTTGATTCTTTACCTCTTTGTTCTCTCACTACCATCCATTAACACAAGCTCATCAGGTAAGTTGCTTGCAGTTTTACTCTGCCCCTCTTGTTAGTGCTAAATTTCTCAGCCTCCTTTCTGATTGTAAGGAAAAGTCTATTTTTGTTCCGATTTACCATAAAACTTCCTCGTTGCTTACATGTTCACTCTATGGTATTCTCAGCATCCATCTATGGAACCTCATCTCTCCCTCTTAATGTCTCTTTCTTCATCTCTAAGACAATTGTCCAACATTCGCTGACATACAGGAGGACAGGCGTTACCCATATTCCGTTCGAGTAGGCGTGTGGATAAATACTGATTAAATTGCATTGCTTATGGATGTTTGATAATATGCTCGGCTGTAGCGGGGGCGACCCCACCACCAGGCATTCCATTCTAAACAAAACTTATTCCATTCGAAAAAAAAAAAAAGAGTCGGGTAAATTCCTGACAGAAACAGAACAAGTTTTCCTTCTGCACCCATGTACATATTGTGACACGCACATAAAAGTCAGTTTTCTGTTAAATTAGCCCTCGTATGAAGTTCTTCATTTTCTATGTGCCTTGTCCATTCAACACATTGGCGATTATGGCTCTCCACAATTCCCTGCCTTTTGTAGCTCTTAATAAATTTTCTCATTTTGTTATTTTTCCTAAAACCTTTTCTGCCATCCATTTGCCCAAGCTCGCCAGGTAGGTTATACGTTAATTTCCTCCAATACCTTTTACCTCCAATTTATCCTGTGAGTATCAAATTTTCCAGTCCCTCTTTCCTCGTTATGTGCCCTAGATATTTCAGTTGTCATTTCCTGATGTTAATTATAAGTATCCTTTTTGTTTCCATTTTTCTATAACTTTGTCGTTGCTCACATGTTCGGTCCATGGTATTCTCAGCATCCTTCTGTAGAACCACATTTGCGTTACTTCGATTCTTTGTGAGGAGATTGCCCAGTGTTCGCTGCCATATAGGAGAACTGATATTTCGTAAAATTTCAGTAATTTTCTTTGTTGCTAACGAAATCTTTCAGTTTCTTAGTGCTTTGCTTAGCTTTTGGAAGGCATCTTTCGAAAGTTTCATCCAAGCATGTATTCTAGTTTCACGCAGTTGATGCTATTCAATTATTTAAACTCAACGTTATTTAATTATTTTTTCAAATAAATATTGGCAAAGTTATTGATTTAATAATAAATAAATTGTAGAACACTAGAGTAATAGAATTCGTTTATTAATACAGGGTATTAATACAGGTGTACATATGTACATTATACAAGTCAAAAAATGATTTAATATTTTGTTGGGTAACCTTTTGCTTTAATAACGGCCTTAATTCTTTAGTGTATGCTATAGACTAAATTCTTTAGTAAGTCAACGTCCTTCGCCAGATTTTTCCAGTATTCCTTTAATTCGCGAAAAAGCTCATCTTCTCTGTTAACTTTCCTATTACGGGCACGCTTGTCGATTACCGTCCAAAGGTTTTCAATTGGGTTACGGTCAGGACTCTGACTAGGCCACTGGAAGAGTTCCAAATTTCCCTCGTCGAACTTCCTCTCTTGATAATGTTAATTCTTTAAGGCAGTATGTTTAGGATCGTTATCGTGCTGGAACCTGAAGCGTTGACCTTGGGCCAAAAGTTGTTTTAGCAGAAAGTCACATTTGATTAACAAGAATGTTGTGCCATTGATGCTGGTCTATGATTCCCTTGATTTTGTACAAATTACCAATTCCTGCCGCTGGGAATGTACCCCAAACGTTGGAACATTTTTCGTTTTG